TCTCATCCTGGAAATAGTAGCTGTGATCTCATTAGTTCTTCAAACAGAATAGTTTGTGCTGTCATTGTCTGTTCATTCTTTATGCTTTAATTTTATAACTTGAACAACTACTTCTAAGATAACAATATGTAATATATCAACTAATGATGATTTCTTAATGTTATTTTTTTGAAATTCTGTATCCTTTCTACCCTTTATCTGTTTTGCTTTTTAAAAAAAAGAAAAAAGAAAGAAATCAACCAATAACAATTACTAGAGGGCCTGTGGGAAAAAGGAACACTTCTCTGCTGGTGGGAGTGTAAACTGATGCAACCACTCTTGAAATCAGTGTGCAGATTCCTCAAATAACTAAGGTTAGAAGACTCTTTGAACCCAGTTATTCCTCTTCTGGGAATCTTCTCAGACGTATTAAAACATCATACCACTACAATACGTATGCACCCATGTTTATAGAAGCAGATTTTGTAATATCTAAATCATGGAAATAACACAATGCCCATCAAATGAGGAATGAATAGAAAGGATGTGGGTTGTTTTTGTTCAGTGAATTACATTAAGCGATAAAGAAGGATAAATTTGAGACTTTTATAGGGAAATGGATGCAACTAGAGACCATACTCATAAGTGAAATAAACCAGACTCACATACATATATAAACATACTATTATCTCCCTAGTGTGAGATGCTGAAAGAGTAAATAAGATCCAAAAATACACAATAGGAATTATAAAATGGGAAGGAATTGTTCAAAAGCAAAGAGAAACTGGGATGGGGGAAAAGAGAAGAAGGACAGAAAGAAAAAAGTAGTTATACTACTAATTTCTCATAGTTCATTGCAAAGAAATATTTAGACTAATATTGTTTGGACAATTAAATGCCTATATCTTATATTCTGAGAAACTAATTTAAAGATAACAATATTCAATGTTTTAACCATTGTTACTATCTTATTATCTTGTTTTGAAATTTTTTTATTCATTCTCTTTAAAATAAAAAATTTTTTAAATAAAAAATAAATGCTATAAGAATTGAATGGGATTACACAAATGAAGCTCAATTCCAGGGACCTTCCATAAATGAAAACCATTACTATTATCTAAAACAATAGACAAATATTTACCTTTAATTGTTCTCCCATATCCCTTTGCTTACATGGGACTTTCTATTTATACTTAAATTCACTCATCTGGTTCAAATTTCCCATAATACTATCCTGAAAATATAAACAGTGATAGGAGTCTATTTTCAGCATTCATTTTTAGTGTTGAGGTCACAGAATATTCAAGTTATTTTCCCAATTATCATTGTGCCAAAGGGCCATAAATCACAGAACGGAATTGGAGACAGGTGTTGAGACTGCTCTCCCCCGCCATTCCCTGCCATCTATAATTATTCCACAGACTGAGTCCAGATGCTAATGGGGAGGTAGATATTAAGGAGCCAGCTGTGTGAACTGGCTCATATGGGAATGCCACTACAGTGCTGATTGAGGTTCAGTTTTAAAAGTCCTGTCACTGCAACTATAAGAATATCTTGTGAGGATCAAGAGAGGAAGATTTGAAAGAAACGGGAGTGAACTGTTGGGAGAGACTGTCTTAAGCAAGCTGTCTTGACTCAATTAGTAGATGTGGACAGCCAAGGAGCATATGAAGAATTAGGCACCATACAACACTAGGAGAAAAAGCTTTCAGAGAGACACTTCTCGAACTTTCAGAGAGACACTTTTTTGAACTTTTAAAGACACACTTTTTGAGAAAAGAGTGGTCGACTTATCTACACCTTTTGAGTGAACACCCTGTAGACAAGACTCTGGGCTCATGTGTGGTACAATTGGTCTCCAGGGTCACATCTTTTTGGGATACAATTCTAGCCCATTGATTATGAGCTAAGTGTTTGGGAACTTCGATTTCCTGTCTGTTAAAAAGAAGTAATAAATTTGAGAACCTTTTTTTTCAGAGTGGTTACATATACTAAGTGAATTAATGCAAATAGAATACTACTAGTAAAGAATAAATAATACACATTAGTGAATTTGTACTGAGTTTATAATTGACAAGTTTGTGTACATAAGGAGTATATTGATCTTAATTATATACACAAGTACATATAAAACATATATTATATGTATAACATATTTGAAAATGTTGTTTGCCCTGTTGTGACTTCTTTAAAATTTGTTTTCTTAGTAAAATGGCTCCAACCTGACCTTCCCTATCAGTATTTCACTGCCAGTCCTCAGTGCAAGGCTGGAAGAAGCACTCTGGCATTTTCCAACAGGAAAAGGCAAGAACATAATGGACTCTGAGAGGATTACATCACATAATCAGTATATAGAAAGCACTCAGGAAGTGGGAGGAGCTAGATGGGTCATTTCCTGTCCATTCAGAAACACATAAATTTATGCCAGTCACTTGGTCAAAAAATAGTCACCTTGCTGTCTTAGACTCATTGTTTGATGTAAGGGTCACAAAGTCCAATGAAACATGGTTCAGCCCTTTGAGACGTACTTATAAATATAGGACGGTGTGCTGGTAATAAAAGCACAATAGAGTATTAAGGGAACCCCACAGAAGAACACTGAAATCATGCTAGAAAATGGAAGAAGGTTTCTCTGTTTGGGTGGGTCTTGAGATGAGTTTAGAATAAGGAATTTGCTAGAATAGGTTAGAGGAACTGAGTGAACAGTGACAGAAGCACCTGACCATGTGACACTTCAGGAGCTACAAATCTGTACATGTGGGTCATTGAAAGAGCAGGCAATGAGATCAGAATCTAGTTTCGAGAATAATGTCTAGAAATTTGAGTGCATTACAAAGTTTCAGGTGATAGATTACATGTACAACCAAGAGCACATTTACAAAGTGATTTACAGAGAACCAGACTGGCAGGAGAGAGAACAGTAGAAAGGCTACAGTACAAAAACAAACAAACAAACAAAAAATTCATGCACTGTAAGGCTCTGGATGGAGCTATCCATGCAGGTAGAGAGGCAGAAACAGGTTTTGGGAGATTTCTTTGAAACAAATTCTGCAGCGCTGGGTGATTACTGAGTAGTGTGAATGGGTCAGAAGACATGATTCTATGTTTCCTACTTAGAGAAACTCCATAAAATTTAGGGCATACCAAGGTAGGAAATAGAGGAGTAGGGAATATATTTGATCTGGAATTTACAAACAGTTCTAAGAGTTGTTCTATCAATTTAATGGCATAAAAAGATTAGCTAGAAGTAAAGTTAAACAAAGCAAAAATCCTATAGGAGAATCAGAAAAAGAAAAGAGGCAAGATAAGGGAAGACATAAGCAGACCTTGTCTAGAATGTGACTTAACTAGTTATTATTTCCCGTGATTTGTAGTTACTGAAGAGATATTTCCGGCATATACTGTTCTGGAAGAAGATAGAAACAGAAGAGGCAAGATGGATTAATGGAGTAATCTGGGAATCTTTTATAAATCTTACATTTAAAAATCAACAAAACTCTTGCTTCCCGTGCTTCAGAAGCACCTCACCCCAAGACAACCCTGCAGAGTCACTCTGGTGAGGTCGCCAGTTGCCAGTTCCCACGGCTGAGCTCACTAATTTGCACATGATGTTGCCTTCCACAGACTCATGTGTCCTGGGAATTGGGAGCCCGCCTTTGACCCAGCTCCTGTGGTCACCATTAGCTCCCTCTCAAGGGACAAGTAGGAGCAATGTGACCAGACCAAATGCCTGGGTCATCCGGGGTCCTGGTTGCATGTGATCCCTCTGTGGCTAAGTGATTCCAATTATCAATGCAATGTCTCTCCACGCAGCAGTAAACTGAAACCCGAAAGAGAGTTGAGATATTTTTCTATCTTTTAAAAATCTTTCTTGGAGTGTTTTTTTTTTAAGAATTACTTTTTGAATGTTTTGGGATCTGGCAAATTTATAGAAAGAAATCGCAACACAAAAGCGATTCTTAGAGAAGAACATGGACTTGGTCTCTATTCCTTGCCCCTACAACTCACTTTCACTGATGCAGGGAAGATATCTGTTCCGTCCTAGCTCAGGCAGGACATAGACATAACCTGTACACTCAAGATTATTGCTCTGCTGCAATAGCATAGTCCCGTGAACAAACCACGTACATCAGCAGAGATTTATTTCATCCACTTCATATTCTGAGATAGCCCAGAGGCTTATTTCCACCAAAGCTGCACCATACATGGCTCCAAAGTGGTTACAGAAGGCCAAGAGAAAGATGGACAATGCATTTGGCTTTATCTTTGACCACATATATGTCAGAGTGACCCTCTGCTGTTTGCCCTTCAGCTTGCAGACATTCCGTGTGTGCTACCTGGCTATGCCATGAACTCAGGAGGCCAGGCCACTATGTGTATGTTTTAAAAGAGATGACCTGTGGTTTTCCCCAGATCTTTAAAAGAATCAGCTACTCAAAAGTGTTTCAAATCTGTTGTTCCTAACACTCTGTAATCATAACTCTTAGAATGCGAGAGGAAAGATTCAGGAAAGGGAAGGGCTATTCTGATGACATATTAGACCCAGTGCCTGTGACTTCAGATATAAACATGCTGTGACCCCTTTTCCATGGAACAGAATTAGCTAAAGGAAAAAAAAAAAGATTATGAGTAGTTTGTGAGGGATTTATCGCTTATATGTCTGTAACTCCCTTTAACTCTCTCACTCTAGCTCTGCCCCATCTCCTCTCAGTGAAGCAGGCAGTTGGAAGTGGAGGAATGGCTTTGGAAGGCTAAAATCTCATTGAGCACCAGCAAGCAGATGGCTGAGTCTGTTTGGCAAAGTCTCTGATGCTAAGCCTGACTTAATTCTTTGAGTAGAAGCAGGACAGTTATGGCAGCGATTGAAGCATAAAGCATATCCCATTGCTGCTTTCTTTTCCCAGAATTAGTTGGCACAGAGGGGACAAAAGTCTTGATGTGAATCATTTTCTAAAGCCACCCAATACCCTGCTGTTTCCTATAACATATCTCCATGGATCATTACTGTGCTTCCAAGCAGATAGTTTCGTATGAGGCATTTATTAATACTCATGATTAAGATAGGTGTGTTCACTGGAAGCATTATCTTTGAGGCCTACAAAGCGCATATTAGGAGCATGCATATGCATATAGAGGGGGTACTCTGTCCACTGACCACGGGCAGGCAAACTCACCATATCAAATGGTGACAGACCCCACAGGAAAATACAATTGAAGAACACACTCAAAAATATATTACATAAAATAATTTACTTCTCATTCAGAATGGCCTTTAAGACTTATTTATGAGACATAAATCTGTGAGTACAGGTACAATCTGTAATTCATGATGATTTAATAGGGCAAGACCAAGAAGTTGTACATTTGGATCCTGGACTTGGCTACAGACATGATGTGGAACTGTGTATAGAATAAAGGGACACTGACAAGGAACTCCGGGGACATTAGAGAAAAACTTTCAGAAAGACAAGAAGGAATAGAAAACCTGCATCTTTAGCACAATGGGATTTGTATACACACACTCGAGAGTCTTCATTTTACAGTCCAGTATTGGCTAAAAAGCCACAAAGATGTCATACATGTAAATTATACTGGAGGTGGTGGATATTTGTGTGTGTGTGTGTGTGTGTGTGTGTGTGTGGTGAGGAGGGTGCGTGGATGTTTGTGCACATTTGGAAAGGCAATAGTTTTAAAAGAATGAGAAGAAAATTACTCCCTAGGCATCCATTAGTAATTCAGGAAAGATCCTGTATCTTCATTTATAAAACAATACAATAAAAAACATTGTAAAAAACATCATAAATAACATAAAGGAGAAATTTTCAAGTATTTTATGTGCCTTGAAAAGTTTCAAACAGTAGTTCTAACACTTAGTATCCCTTCTTTCTTTTCTTTTTTTGTTTTTGCTTTTCTTTCTTCTTCTCTCTTATAATCTCAGTGCCTAGACAAAATGGCTTCATTCTCTGCCAGCTCTGATGGTTGGGGTAGAATAAACAAGATTTTGCCTTGAAAGAGAAAATTTATGAGGGCTTTTCAGCTTTCAAAAAACAATCTTTTTTCTGCTGTAGGCTTATAAATGTAGGCATGTAGCCTAGAATCATTATGGGGGAGACAACCAGCCCCATGAATTAAGAAGGCTCATCTGACGGCTAACTTTCTCAGGGAAAAAAAAAAGAGCACCTTTATCAAAAGAGGAAGATAAAGGACAGCAGATAAAAATAGTAACCTTTAAACTCTGCGCCCTCACTGAGCGCATAACTGGCATGATTACACAGCAAGCCCTTGCCTGTATTTTTTCCTTCAGCTCAAGCCTCCTGTCTCCCAAATCCAGACCCACCCAGCCGCCAGTAAGTATGGCCTGAGCACCCAGGCAGAGAAGGTTTAGGATCTCTAGTGATAACTGTTGCCAGACAGTTCAGTATCATTTAGATATATAATTCTTTAACAGTATCTGTTTCTTAGAATAGTGCTCAAGGTGGAGACCATCTATGGTAAATGAAACATGAAGTCCCCTGGATTCACCTCCAGAAAGACCCATGGATTTTTCCAGAATCAGCTTTCCACAAGTTAACATTTCTCTTTCAGCCTGCGTGGCAATTAGTTTATGTTCCCCTGTTCAAATGCTGTGCAAATATCAGAACCTGCATGTAAGTATAGACACACGCTCCAATTTGAGCACCTGGAGTCTTTCCCATCTATTCTTGCAGGACACAAACACATTTGAATACATAAACACATATAACTATATACAGAATGTACATGTATATATTATCTATATATATTTAATATACACACATGCACACACTTGTGTATAACACATCAACCTCATCTAAGCACAGAGAATCTGGAGAAGTTCTGGCTAACAGAAACCATGTGCATGTATATGTACCAACCAGCCAAACTGATGTCAAGTGGCTGGGAGAGGTGCACTGCCAACAATCTTGGAAAATACAGACCTACAAGTAAGGCCATTATCTAGATACTTGCTCCCCTAACAGCCTAAAGATACTTGGAGAAATTGGACTGGAATGTGGTCCCACCCTGCTGAATACCCAAACCCACAGCTAAATCTAGCTTTTACACGGCAGGCAGTGTGAACACTAGGCTACGACGTGGATAAAGCAAAGTGCTTAATACAGATCAGTGTTTGGCCTCAGGCTTTCCAGAGCATAGAGTCTTGGCATTCCGGCTCTCTGCCTCCAGGTGAGACTTAGGCACACTGGGGAAGCCGAGATGTACAGTTTGCAGAACTCTTTGCTCCTTTCTGCTTCTCTGCCCCACAGCTGGAAGGATTGGTCAGATCAAGGTAAAATGGAGACTTCAGGAAGCGACGGTATGAATCCTTTTCCATCAGATGGAAAATCTTCCTCTGGGCCTCATCAAAGCAGGTGATCGTAGGCTCCAGCATATTCCGGCTCGTCTCCTCCCTGGTGCAGGAATCTAGGTTCACCTGAAGAGCAAAGACCAAGGCTTCGTTATATCTATAACCCAGCTGAGGCTGGGATTCTGCAGGCTTTGTACTGACAGATTAGGCACTGTGCACCATCTGTATCTAGGAGTGCAATGAAGGACATTTAGTCCCATCATGGCATAGGTGAGAGACTACAAAAAGTTCATTTCATTCCCAGGTTGGAAGAGAAATACCTTTCCCTTCTGCACTACTTAAGGATAGTTATCAGTAAAACTCACTAAGACAGGTCACTTAGACAAAAAAGAACTTTCTTAGCAGATTGTTTGAGGATCATTGAAATTATAATAGCCTACTCTGTTGTTCACTTTACCTAATAACATCTAAAGATCCACACCAATGAATACCACCCCAGGAACCTTCAGTAAGACCTGACAGTTTCCATCTTAAACACTTACCTCCTTAGTTGCTTGGACTGAGATGAATTCATTATAGATCTTTTTGGCTTTGGGACTCAGTTTTGAGGGTGACTTGATTTTCTTGTATTCTTCACAACTGATCCAGAAGTCAATATTCTCCTCACTGTATTCAGACCGTAAGAAAGCTTTGAAAGCTGCCAGCCCACCTGTGACACAAGAGAAAGTCCCACAGTTTGTCATCAGACTGGTTGGCTTGTAGGATAGTATTCTTCAAATAGGTGCTTAGGGGGCTAAGGCATGAGTTCAAGAAATCCCTTTTTTTCTGTGTTTGAGTTTCACATGGGATCTGATAACCCTAATTTGTGTTTTGTATCCAGGAGATGACAATTATACCTATGATTCTTACTCGAGGTTTCTAATGTGCTATATTCCTGAAATATCTACACAGCTGTCAACCGACAGAGTAGGTTTAACGAAGAGAGACAGATTGATTCTGAAGATCTCAATAATTAAAATGTCTTCTCTCCCCTGTTTTTCTAGGAGATAACAGTGAAGGTTTTTCACACAGTTTTTGTATAAATTTCTCATTGCAGATCACAGTACTCTAGGACATGGTAAAATGTTAAACATAAGAGATATAAGATCAACATTTATCTGAACATCAGAAGGGGCCAAGACTCTGTTTCCTAACAGACCAGCACAATATGAGGCAATTGGTGTTATTTTCAGAGTAGAGACAGTATAAGGGATGGAACTTACATTCATGGCTAATCAGGTTTTCCAATGATTCACCCCATTTCTTGACTTCTTCTTGGCTTACTCTGGAGACATGAAAGAGAAAAACAATAATTTGAATGTTGTCATAGTATAGAGTAAGGGCAAGAAGACTAGGATTCTGAATAAAAGCAGAAAATTTATCTTCTATCATTATGATAAGATCTACTACTATTTAGGTTTGAACTTTAAATGTATAGAAATTTTCATTCTAATATGAGCTCCATAAAAAGAGAAGTCAGTTTGATCCATATCTAGCCTAATTAGGGGCATAACCTTCTACTCGTTTCAGAGAATGTATCTCTCATCAGATAGCAAATGAAACATCACCAAGGCCTTATCTCTTACCTCTGGCAAATAACCACTTTGTCCTTCTTGCTATGGGAAGAATTATGTTCACAGGAGTCAGATTTCTGCAGCAGAAAACCCAGCCGATGTTTCATATCTTTTGCACTGAAAAAAGAGAAAAAGAATTAATAATGATAACCAGTTTTCTCTAAAAAGATACCTTCATGGTAAAGCTTGAAGAATTATTGTCAGTGTACAATTTATGTATGGAACAGGAGTTAAAGTGGTGTGACCTCTCAGGAGGAAAAAAAAAAATCTTCTCCTTCAACCTATGACTTACTACAAAATTATGAACCAGAGTTAAAATTCTGGTTCCTTTATCTATAACTGGAATTCCAAACTTTTAGTCTGCCTCAAAAATCTCTTTTGTAAACTCACTGTTTTTATCCAATAGAGCCTTTGGTAGCATCCGTGGAACCACTTTGAACACATGACTATTCTGAGTCATTTTTAAGAATGTAAAGCTCAAACAGCGAAGTACGGCACCTGCCTGCCTCCTGCCACCTTCTGGCAGATGGCTGCTATTGCCATCTGTCTCCCTGTCTGCATAGAGAAAGCAGCTTCCGGCTCAGGAAAACAAAGGTTTGTTAGGCTGCTGCCAACCAATGCCCTCCTGGGGTGTACATGGAGTGTATCCCAAAGCCTGAACCCCCAGGAGGAGGACAAGACAAGCAGGTGGCAGAAACCAGTACTCAGTCCAAAACCTGAGGTCCATTAGGCTTGTTTGTAGACAATCTCCAGGTCTGCCTTCCTTTAAAATCTACATTACCAGGAGCTGTACACACTAGCAAAGACCTTTGAAGCACTGGGACAAGGAGAAGCAATCAAGAGTCATCACTAAAGTAAGTGATTGTTTTAATTAGAGTTTCCAGGTATTGTCACAGTTTTCTAGGTAGCCAGGGTACACCAGGACTTCTAACTGACTTGAGAAGGAGGACCTTCTAATAGGCTTTCAGCTCAGCTATCTCACCTTGTAGTTATTTTTTGTTTGTATTTGTTTTCTTATAAAATCCAAATGATAGTTTACAAAAGAGAAATGACATTTTTAGAAGAAACAACTAGATATTCTTATATATTTGGAGGAAATTAGAGATATGAGTAAAAAGACATTTAGTCACACTAGTGGCTGATCTATGTGGATTTTCTCAGAATGTTTTAATTCTGTTGTATGCTTAGCCTGCACTTGAAATAGTATTTTATCTCCAATGACACTGTATTTGTTTTTCTCTATTCCCCAACTGGTGACTGATCAGAGGACCCCCAAAATCACTACACTGACCATTAGTTAAAATCATAAAGTCTACAGTGATTCCAAGATGATGATGTAAATGTATCATGATTCAGTGAAGATAAAAATTATCACATCTCCATGTGCCACCTCTACCTGAGATCCAACAGTTACCGAGCAAGGCAGGGTCATTATATGAACTAGAAGTAAGTGTAGCGATACCTTTATAACATAAAACAACCATGAAAATAAAAATTCAAGTGACTTCAGGAGACAAGAGATTTTTTAAAAATCCAAATTTGGCCCTCACTCTACACCCATGATCCTTATGACCTTGAGCAGTTAAGGTCCATCGGGTGCTTCCACCCTGCTGGTAATGAGATGGGTCAATAACTGATAGGCTAAGGTGCAGGGGGAGAAAAGAGCAGCTCACAGCTGACACTAAGTTTCCCTCCTCAATTAGCTATTTAATTAATTCTTTGAAGGTAGGGTTCTAGGACAGTCTCTCAGCTACCTCCCAAAGTATTTACAGAGCAGAACTTTCACCTGGCACTGCTATATTTTGCATGGTTAATTTGTATGTAACTTAATCAAAGTTTGGAGTAATTTGTTCTACCAATTCAGGAAAACCATGCCGAGGGTGAGATGTGTTTATTAACCACTCCTCTGCAAGACCCACCTAATTCAACACTTTCAGCCTCCTGAGTGACAGAATATAGACAAGGTAAACTCGGAAACACCCAAGAGACCAGTTTTTTGTGATTATTTTCAAATTGAAATATATAGTGATTTCTATTTGTAGGTTCACTGTAATATTAAATAATGTAATATACACTTATTTTGTGTTTCCTTTCCAATTAGCCAATATATGAGCATTCTCTAAAATCTTTTATTTTTACATTTTTTTAAAGTCAAACACAAATCTTTAAGGTCCTCTTTTAAATTAGTAATATATTGATAAAACATGTTTAAGATAAGCTTTCTATAAAACTCTTAACTGGCTTGTTATGTTCAATACTTTTCACCCGTCACTCACTTCAGAAATTAGAGGTAAGGCAGAGAGCAGGGATGTCTGGCTTTCAAACTTGTGTCACATTTGTTTAGAGGAACAAAGAGTGAAGGACACTGCAGCACTGCGTGGAAAGTGTGGTGCTTTTCTAATTATGAAGCCAAACCTCCATCTGGGCTGTCTTCTTTTGAATACTATCTAATATGTGTTATCAGAAAGTACAGTGCTGTGATCCTATGTACCCAAGTGATGCACAAATCACAACTTTAACCCCAGACAAAGGTGGAACCACATTGTAACTCCAAACTTCAAGTTACTTCTTAATTCAGACTGCCTAGATTCAAGCACCTGTCTGTAAGGTCAAAATAGGTCTAAAACCTGGAGCCATAAAAACACATAGGTACCAAAATTTGGGGAACATTGCTTTCTAAGTCACAATAGCTCTTCTGAGAGGAAAGATAAGATACTACTGCCCTCCTGATCACACTGTTTAATTCCAAAGAACCAGCATGGTAAGTACAGCATGCAAGGAACTGAGAAAGTCTCTCCAAAACTTTAACATGGTTAGTGGCAGGAAAGTCTCACCTCTTCAGGCAGGAAGCCGGCAGCCCTGCAAGTCCTTTGCACATTTTGTTGAATGGTGTTATATTCGCAGACAGGAGAGAAATGCTGCAGAAGGAGCTGTGGTTTCTATTTTGAGTTCACGTTGCCTCTTTTCTGCAAAGATGCTGTCAGAATCCTCTGAGCGTCTCCCTCCTGAGCCTGCAGAGGTCTCTTTTATAGCCCAGCCACACTGATCTAGCCAATCAGATGGCAGCTCTGAAGCCTGTGCTCCTGTGTCTCCCCTGCCTCTCCAGCCCATGGAAGACATAAGGAAGAAAAGACTGACGCATCTCCGATGCAAAGCAACCAAGCAGAGAAAATCCTCTTGCAAAGTAGGCAGACAGAAAAATAATTTTGTTCTTGGCATTTCTACCAGTATGTGGGGTTTTTCTAGAGAAGGAGTTGGGAGAATCTAATGTACTGCGCAGTGTGGGCTTTGTTCATTTGTCTGTTAAAAAAAATCAGGAAAGTTGCATCTTGGAAAGATGCCAGTAGGTAATCTGAAGCAATATACTTCCTCTTTTACATTGGAAATAATTTACTTGGTCTGAGTTCTGAGGTCTTATGTTCATTGTTTCCAAACGGGAGTTGGTAGGTTCATAGTTCCCAGGCAGTGATTCGCAGAAGTCTATTTCCTGGTTATTAAGCTCACAGCCATGGGGAAAAATTCCTGGGTGTAAGATTGGTAAATGCCCTGAAGCATTAACAAAACAGCCTAGGGAAAACAGATTCCCTACCTCTGTAGTCAGCTTGACTGTGAAATATATTTCTAAAAATCTTGCTAAGGATAGGATTCAGCCCAGCAATGACAATCTCTCCTGTATATGCCTGCCTTCTGCAAGAAATCTCAGACAGCAGCTTGAGGACCAGAGAAGAGAGGAGATGAACAATCTAGCCACCAACTTGCATTAGTATGTGAATCTTATGCTTTGTGTAACTCTAAGTTTCCAAACTGCAGAAAACAAAGGAAACAGAAAGTGATGATGATGATGATGATGATGATGATGATGATGATGAGAGAGAGAGAGAAAAAATGAATGAATTTGCCTTTCATATTTCTAGTCTTCAGAAAAATATTCAGGCCTGCAGGTGCTTCAGAACATCTGGATAATCAGTATGCTTTGCACACAATATCATAAAGCAGTACATTAAAATTCATGCAAGTGTCTCACATTTTATGGTTGTAGCTCAAATACCCACCTCAGCGTTACCAAGGGATCTTTAACTGAAAAACTGTGACTGGGAAGAGAAAATGAATTACTATGTCTGGCCATAATAGCTTCTGTTTTAAAAGCAGATAGGTACCTGTGCATAGGCTAGAGTGAGCCATATTGTACATGTCAGAAATAGAAATATCAATGATTTAGACAGAGAAGGTAAAAAAACAAATGGATTCCAGTGATTCATTGTACCAAGACTGTAGAAGGAAAATGGTAAACAGCAGTTTCTCTGTTTGTCTCCCCATGCGTCCATGTCCCCAAATGTCCTACATTATTACCTCCTTCTGTTCAAGGGAGATTCCCACCTCTTCCAGAGCAAGGAGGATAGACAGATATTAAAAAAAAAAAAAAGACTGGAGAACTGTAATCTTTAGATCATGAATTTAAATCACAGGAAAAAGTCCTTAGCCTTTCCCCTGAAGACAGAAAAATATTTATTAGATTGACTACTGAATGACTTTTCCTTGAGTTATAACATGGAACAAGTGAAAGTTGCTAGCCACCCTTGGCAATGAAGTAGAAGAGACTGCAGCACAGTGTAAAATGTAAGAGGCCACCAGAACAGGAAAGGGGACCCTGTGGGGAGATGGAGAAGGCATAGCTAGCATCAAAGCAGAGAGATTGATTTTTAAAAGGTAGAAGGCTACTCAAAGATAGGCCAGAGTCTTCTTTGTTTACATAGGCACCTAACAAAGTAATCACTCAAATCCCTGGAGTTTAGGAACATGAGTAAAGACCCAAAGGATTTACTCAAGCCTGAAAAAGCCATGACAAGAACTTCATGTCTGGGACCCGGAATCCGGCAATCGTGGTTTATCCTGGGCAGAACACACTTTACAAAATGAACTGGTCTGATGCCTTCACTTTACCAAAAAGAAAGCAAAAACCCAGAGAAGGAAAGAGATTTGACAAGATCATAGCTTCTTGATGAGGCTGGATCCAGATCCAGGTTTCTTGATATTAAATTATCCAGATTTTCTATTATGCTTTCCTGTCACTCAACAGCCTTATCAAATGAGATAAACTGTGTAAACAGAGATATTTCTAAACTGTAAAGTGCTGGTCAAACAATTTTTATTGTTAGGTTTGACACAGTCAATAACAAAACCAGTGTTAATTTTCTACATTTTCTTTGAGGAACTTGCATGCTGCCACGTCTTCTCTGGGTTTGGGAAGAGAATTGCTTGTAGACCTTGTGTCTCTGGTTCTCAGTTAAACCAAGTCTTTTTAGCCCCGCTTGGTTCGTATGTTTTATATTGATTTGCTTTTTGGATGATGATTTCTTGCTTGCAAGATATTAAATCTTTTAAAGACTGCTTGAAAATGAATCTCAGAAATTAACTTGTTTCTCATGCCGGGACTCACTGATTGCATTGAGGAGGCGAGGGCTGGTACATCATGATGCCTTTACAGCATCCCACCTTTCTCTGACATGCACAATGCTATTATGCTTCAGTTTGTCATTCCTGGGTGATGCCAATAATGTGGAAGAGCTTAGCTCTCAAAACATCTATTTGTATCTATTCATTTGTTTAAGACATGTCTTTTGATCTGTCTTAAACATATTTGCTGGGTGACAGGTACTCTTTGAAGAGCACATTTATATGGTGGAATAGAAAAGGTCTCCACCCTAGTGAAACGCTCAGAGGATAGAATCAGAAAAGACTGTGGCAAGGACTTGTAAGCTATGATATAGAGGCTGGATCTTATCAAAGAGCAACAGAAATCCACAGAATCACTAACACAGTGAAAAGGCATGACCTATGATCATACTGGCTATTGCAAGTGAAACGATTGAAGTAGATGGCCGGAATATGGATGTAAAGAGACCAGTTGTAGGTTATTTTGAACCCTAGTTCATCCATTTGTCCACTGCAGCATGGAGAATTATCTTACAAAGTGGGATTTATCAGACACTAAAGAAGACATTCTGCTAGTCCCTGGTAACCTAAGTGGTCTGTGTTTTTGAGGAGCAAATTCCCTGATGGGAGAGAAGGTTGAATAACTGGAAAACACCAGTCTGAGTGCTGTCATTATAAACTCATTAGAGAATGGAGAATAGGTTTAACCCTCAGAATTAGGAGATTGTTAAAGGATGAATACAAATGTAGTCACTGCACAAAGAAGCCAAAAGCATTATACTGCAGAGTACCATAATTATTGCTATTTTTTACTGTGTGTCAGCTGTACAAGGAATGATTTTCAGCACCTTATATCAATTAATTCAGCTACTGTCCACAATCAATCCTGAGAGAATGATTCACATTTTTTTGATGAGACATAGGTTTAAATAACTTACATGAGGTTACACATCTAATTGGTGGTGACCCTTTGCTAGTTCAGACAGTCTGATTTCAAGGTCTCTCTTACTCACCTTTGTGATTATGGCCATTAAATATGCAAGAAAAGGAGCTGTTTGGAGATGAAGTGTTTAGCATTATTGAGCCTTTGAGGGAGAACGAGAGAGAAAAAACAAGGCTGCACAGATACTCTGAAAACCAGAGTGTTTCCTGTTGTACTAAAGACCAGAATTTATTCTGCAGCTGGTGGAGCTTGTGGGCTAATCACAGTAGTTAAGATGATCAGATTAGTGCTTGAGAAAGAGGACTCGGGAAACAGGAATGCACTGTATGTGGAAGAAACTGACAAAAAAGTTTTAAGACTATTACAATAGGCCATTGTGAAATGTGATAGTAATAATAATGTCAACAAAGGTAATGATGAGAATCAAATGAAGTAACACACATAAAAAAGCTCCTTTCCCCTCTGCTTGGGGAAAACATTTCTCAAACACTTAATGGGGTCTAACACAAGGAAGCAAGACACTGGTAAGCTTTGGCTCTTTTGCTTTAAACAGGCACCACTTCTTCACCTGGGAGGATATGAGCCAAAACTCAACCTTAGGCAGTATTTGCACCATCTCAGATTACAATTTCCTCTCAGCTTTTTGGAGTCTTTCTCCCTCTTTACTGTTAAGTGTCCTAGATGTCAGTAAAAGATCATGGTTACTGCTTGTTAAGGTTATAAAGCAAACACACTAGGCTGGATGATGTTCTATACCAGGAATAAAAACAAGGACTTTTCCAGTATGTGTTAATTTTTGAGAAATATCTTTGTCTGCATAAAGCTTTGTAGGCACCTACAGTAAACCAAGGAATTGAGTCCTGACACTTGATAATAGCAGGTGATATACCACTTGATTGTACTGGAAGGACAGTAACACAATTAACTCGGTCAGGGAGATCTTTCCCAAGAAGTAGGGGAAGAATCAAATTAGCCCTATTCCGAAGATTAAATCTTCCCTCTGCAGAGCTTAGCTCAAGATAGAAGCAGCAGTTTCATAAAGAGTTCATTTGCATTGCGTGGTTGGAAAGAGCCTGGGTGGTGTGATGGAAAGTGCTTGAACTTCCCTGGAGGTGGACCTGGATTCTAATTCTAGCTCCTCCACAGACTAGCTGGGGAACCTGGGCAAGCTAGAGTAACCTTTCTGACTTTAGCTTCCTTAAGTGCCCTGGATCCCCACTTGTCCTCTGATTAAAATTTTAACTCAGCATAATATTCCAGTATTTTCATCATTGATCCTAATCCACAAGTCCATCTGTCCTTCCATTCTGTTCTTCATCAAGGTCTATCTTGCAGTCAACCTCAAGTTCTGTATATATGCTCTACTCATCTATGTATTGCCCTACTCTGTGTCTTGGGCCATGCTGTGCTGGTTAACTTGAAGGTCATCCTCACAATACCATGTCAAATTCAGGCTTTCTACTTTTCAATAGTAATAAATTGATCCCCCCTTCTGTTTTCATCTAGCACTGTGTGTTTACTCTTTAGATTTGATTGTGTTGTATTTGAGAGTAAGATCAGTTTGTCAATGATTTATATTGAGCACCTCCTGCATGTCTGTGAAAAATGATCATTTTTGAGATATTAATGTAATAAACATACACTGACACCCAAATGGTCTGGGCTCCATGCTGGGCACCAGGGATAGATCCAGACCCTCCACCTTTTGATTTTACACTACATTTTGGAGGATAGACGGGCAAAAACTTCTGGTTTAATCATACATTCTTAATAGTGGGGGTACATTGTGAGAGATGTGTTATTAGGTGATTTTTTCATGGTGGGACCATCATAAAATACACTGATACAAACCAAGATGGCTAGGACATGAGTACATAATGAAATTTTATGAGATCATTGTTGTAGGTGTATACACCATCCATCACTGACCAAAATATTGTTATGTAGTTCATGATTATATGTGGACCAATAAGTAAAAATTACAAATTGGTTATGTGCTTTGAAGAAAAGAAAAACACTGGTAACTTCAGAAATAATCAGCACTGACATTTTTACAGAATGAAGCAGACCTTCTATAAGGATGAAATAGGAGCTAGTCGTGTCAACAAAGGAACATCTTGAACAGAACAAAGCTTGTGCTTTGAAGCAGAAAGAGGTTGATTCCCGAGACCACAGTGGCTAGATTTTGGTGAGTAGAGCAAAAGTATCAGAAGATGAGGTTGAAGAGTTTGATAAAAATCAGAAAATAAAAAGTCTTGTATCTTGTTAAAGGATTGAACTTAGATTTATCTACACTGAGAAGGAATGATATGTGCCATTTTAATGCCTATATTTCATGGCTGTCCTATAGACAATAGAATGCAGGATATCAAGAGTCTGTAGAAAACTAAAGCAGTTATCTAAATAAGGGATGGTTAGGGCCTGAACCAAAGAGACAAACATATCTGGTCTCTAAACTTGAAGAGCTTTTTTTCTAACAGAGAAAAATCATTAACTGAACCATTTACTGATCCGTTAACTTAGCAAAATGCTCAGCATTCCAAAATAACAATGGTTGTGTGTGCTAGGAAAACAGAAAAGAGAAACAAGAATTGTTGATGGAGGTCAACTGAGTTTGGAATGTATTCAGTTTGGTGATGCTTACGCAGAATGTTATGTGAGCCTCACATCCTCTTGAACAACTTCACTATCCTGGTTGTGGACTATTTAAATTTTAAAAGCATGGCTGGGGTCAAAAAAAACAAGGAAAATGTAAGATTCCCAGACAAAAGAACTCTCCAGGGATGATTCCACGCGAAGCAGAGAGAAGACAAACAGGAAGCAATGTCACCAGCTAGAACAGGTCCTAGTATAAATTTACAGGCAAAAGTCTGAATTGGACAACAAAAAGGAACACAGCTTAGACAAAGATTGAACAGGTCTCTTAACAAAGGAAAGTGAGAAAAGATAGGCAAAAGGCTTCATCTTGAGGATTTGAAAGAAGCACGGGTCTCAGCTTGAAGATCAGACTGACTCATTCATAAATAATGGACACCAGTTTTATGGGGTGTTGCCATAGGCTGGGGATCCAGTTGATCATTATTTTAGTCCTTGTTTTGCAGCTCATGAGGAACCCTCCTAGCGTGAGAGTCTCTTCTGTTCCCATGGAATTACTATCTTTGTGGCAGTATCAGTTATGTGAGGGCCTACTTTTCCTGGAACACAAGTGACTACAGATTTAAGACAATGGCTGAAGACTTTCAGGCATCACCCTGGAAGGGGGAAGATATCTAGAACCGGATGTTGTAAAAGTTGATATATACGTGCTTCCATAAATCCTGAGAATTAATTTGTTTACTCTGATCTTGATGTTCTTAGTCTTGAAATGACATGATAGGCTAAGAAAATATAGGGCTAGTAAACTTATTTTGTCAACTTTTCATAAACGATTATTGTGTCTATTATCCAAAAGTTTAAGACAATAAAGAATGTAAAATAAAAGTCAATCTTTTTTCTACTGTAAGCTCAGTAGAAGAATTATGGTTTTAACAAAAACCATTGTAAGTCCCTGCCTATCTTGGAAGAAAATATAAATTTTGCTTTTAACTAGTAGCAGGTAAAGTGTCCAAGAATTTATCCCCTAGCCCTAAGGAAGGATCTGATTGTCCTATGTCACCAACACGTTCTTTGGTTAGCTCTCTCTGTAATCTGTGTTATAATACATTTATTTATATGTATATTTATTTAGATACTCAAACTCTAAGTTTTTCTGAGGCTTGTGAATTTTCATTTTTGTTATACAAGAAGGATTTGGGGAAACTTCTGATGGTAAACAACAACAACAATATCCATAACAATGAGGAAATGATGCCTCTCCGAAAAAGAGCAGACTTTCTATTTAGTTCAGACTGGCAAAATGAAAGGATGAATTGGAAGGTTTGTTTTCCACTTCCAATTTTTTTTGCTTTGTTTGAATTTTTAGCTTTTGCTCTGAGCAAGCAGTGATGGTTCAGTAACACACGAGACCTTTCTGAAAGCAGAGAACCAGGCTGATTTCAGACGGTGGCATTGGAAAAGCTACAGACTCACTTGATTCTGCAAGAGATGACAGAGGTCCTTAAGGACAAGAAAGATGAGGCTTCCAAAAGAATCTGAAGGCTGTGGATGTGTTCTGTTTTATAATGCATGCTTTGCGTGGGCTGGACACTGGGTTCAATTCCCAGAAGCTCCACACCCCACCCCCACACCCACTCTACCCCTCAAACCACTGTTCCCACTTTCCATTTGTTACCTGTGGCCAATTACAATCCAAAAATATTACATGAAAAATTTCAGAAACAATTCATACATTTTCAACTGTATGCTATTTTGAGCCAGGTGCTGAAATCTAGTGCTGTCCCTTTCTGTCTCACCAGGAACATGGTTCATCCTTTCACACAGCACAGTCAGGCTATCTGTGAGTCAGTAGCTGTCTCGGTTACGGGATAGATTGTCACAGGATTACAGTGCTGGTGGTCAAGTGATTCTCATTTTACTTAACAATGGTTGTAAGGTGTAAGAGTAATGATATAAAAGAGGCCCCAGGGCATAAAACATGGAAGAACCGATAACTCTGGTACCTCTGCATGTAGCAACGTTGCAGGGAGTACAGAATAATACATCACGCTTTCAAGCATCCACTGGGGTTTTGGAACACACTCACCTTGGATAGGGGGTAGGGTCGCTACATTGCCATCAGCAGTTTTTACTTAATCCTCACCTCATCTTGTTCAGTATCTTACTGATGTCATCTCCTTGTTTTCCCCACCAATTCAGGTTTTTGCATTTTCTCGGTTTGTGTTTCATTATTTCCCCTATTCCTGCAGTTTCTTAACCTACCTCTTTACAGATGCTAATTTTGGCTCCTGGCCTCATTCTCACTCTTCAGCCCTGGGCTTTTGCTGTAGGTTTACACCATTCTGTTGTGCTCAGTAACTCGTAATAATTGCTAATCTCTACAGACTGTTTCACATACCCTAATGGCTTCCTCACAGCACAGGTATCATTACTTTTCCATTTTGCAGATGAGAGATTTAAGACACAACGAGGTTAGTAATTTATTAACACAACCAAGGAATAATAGGGCAAGATTGAAGTTCAGGCTGATTGGCTCCCAAGTCAAGTCCTTCACCTCACGTGATGCCACCAGTTTGCTTGCCCATTATCAGCTGACAGAAGTCCCCTCCCTCATGGGCTTGCTTGTTCTGATGAGAGTTATATATGCATATTGCTTCCTTCCTTCAGGGCTACCAGATGATGGGGTCAATTTTGCTGTGTCGGTGAATTAACCTTCCTATGTCCACTTCTAATTTAATGACCTTGATCTTCAGTCTTCAACTGGAACTGCAATAACTAAGTCATCAACATAAAGGCAAGACAAGAAGGGAAAGATAATTCTATTAGTCTTGTAAATTCACACAGTACTTCCTAGCAGTAGAAGAATCCCTTCAAGTATAAACCCTTAAGAGTTTCATTTTAAAAAATTATCTTTGGCCTGGATAATTAAGTTATGAAGAAGTAATTATATCTGTTTCTATAAAGGTCATGTCTTAAGAGACACTAAAACAAAAATCCTACATAAAAGAGGCAATTTGAGGAGGGCTTATTAAATTCTAACCCTTATTTCCAGCCTTGGTGTTTGAGCCAGGTAAGATCCACAGAGAAACACTGTCAGGAGTTCTGCTGAGCTTCTGTGTGAAATGTAAACGCACTCATATATATCATGCTATAGGGGCAGCTGCCCTTTGCCTCAAAGGAAACAACAGTGATGGAAAAAAATATAATGCTGTGGTGTTGACTCAGAAATATGATAGGGCTATCCCATAGTATACAGCTCGTGTGCTTTGATTGTTTTCTCTGGAGTGTTGATGGGTCCGTGTTAGTCATAAAATGATCCCAGCCATTTCCTCTTAAAATAACCCTACCATTTCTAAAACACTTCACAGTTCGCAAAGCACTTTTTCCTACATTATCTCATTTGTCTCTCACATCAAACCCAGTGTGTCCAGAAGTGAGATAATTTTCCCTCTCAAAGCTACTCCACCTTCAGCCTTCTTCCCGTAAATCCTCCCCCTCTGAACATTTCTCGCTCCGTTTTGCCTGCTCCTCCCTTACTGCCCTAGTTTAGATCCTCGCTAACCTGTTCTTTGGCACAGATGTACCTCTTTCTTTCTGAAGTGGGAATGTACCTGTCTCAAAGGAGGTTTGCATGGAGAACATTTGTGTGTAATGCAGAGTGACGGATGTCTCTGGGGGAAAGAAGGACAGCTTTCTTTCCTCTTTGGATAGCACTAGAACCTAGGAATGCCCACCATTTTTGGGGTCTTGTATCTGCCACAGTATGGCATACGGTCTGCCACACTGTGATACAGTGGCAGGGTTGACTGGTTGCCACGTGCCTCACAAAGGCTAAAATATTTATTTACTCTGGCCTTTCACAAAATTCTGACTGCTGGTCAACAAGACACAAATAATATCCAACATGTTCTTTCGTATTAATTTTTCTTTATCTAATTCACCCAACAGAGTACTGTCATACTCTGACTCAAAAAAATCAATGCTATTCAGTTCCCACAAAATAAAGATAAAATTCCCTGTACAAAATTACTCAACATGACAGCCAAGTCTCATTTCTATATGAATTTCCAGTCCTTTTACAAAACTGAAATATTTATTTTTAATCTCTTGATGGTCTGTGATTCCATATGGCTGAGGGTTTCTTTTTTTTAATCTAGATGAAAATCCGTCCTCCAGTCTAGCTTCCCAAGTTCACTGCCCCTAATCTTTAAGGTCAATATTCCTATAGGAATATCTTTTTAAATTCTTGGTTACAAGGAGGCCTGCTTGTTTACATGTTTGTAAGCATTTTGATCACTTCATATATGGTAAAAGTGAGTTATTTCTAACACAAATTCTAATTTTATATATACTGCTATTCTTTCTTTTGCTATTCTGTAAACTTACTGGTGATGAGCAGTGATTGCCATTCAATTCTTGGTGAGCCTACTGGTTTCTAGCATGTATCTTGATCCTAACAGGATTAAGTTAGAGTTGTTGAGTGAATAAGTCTGTGGATAAAAATTACTATAGCTCCATTTACATATGAGAAAACTAAAAGATAAGATGAATTTAGTCAGAGTACATTAGGTTATGCTGCAGTAACATTCAGTCCACTCCCAAATCTCAGTATGCTTATAAGAAAAAAGATTTATTTCTTGTTCATGCTGCATTTTGACATAGAAAATACCAAAGGTAGCTATGCTCTCTATTGTCTTGACCACAGGGTCTAGGCTGTTGGTTCAGTTCTGTTTGTAAGTATTTTTGTTTTTCTTGCTAGAGAGGAAGAGAACAGAGCAAAATATGCTTTACCTTTGGAAGCTTTTGTGCAGAAGTCGCACACATTAGTTCAGTTTATATTTCATTGTATTTTATTGGCCAACTGGATGTCAAAGAGGGAGCTAGTTATAATCTTCCCCTAAGAAGGGCAGCAAATATTTTTAAATAATAAAAAAAAATCCACTACAAGGAGTTTAAATGATTGATCCAAAAAGATAGCACAATTAGCAAATGGCAGAATAGGGATTTGAAAAGAAATCACTTGATTTGTAAATCTAGCTTCTTTTTCCATTCATCATAAAGCAGACTGACAGAGACTATATTAACGGCTGTGTCCTATTTAAACTGGATTGACCCACCTAGACTAGCTAAAGGAAGAGAACAAATGAAAGATTGCTCAGGTTGGTTCTTTCAGTGATCACTATCAGACAATCAATTACTACATCCGTAGATGGAAGTACAGGAAGTGACAACTTCCGTTACTGTTGATTGCCTTAAAAGGATCCTAGCAGCAAGGAAAATACTGTAAATGGGATGCCATTACCTGCATTTGGGAGTAAAGGGCCATTGGAAGTTTGACAGCACTGGGATTAAAGATACATGTATAAGGCTGAGAGCGATATTGTGCATGTCTGTCTTTTAGGTTTTATTAATTTTTCTACTAATGGCAAAATTATATGAATTACTCAATACAAGCTGAGAAAATTTCTGGCCCTTTCTATGGCAAATTTATCATGGAGATAGGTATGCTTCCTGATCTCACAGAGATTATGGTGTATGCAACACACTGACGCTAGGTAACATCATTTCAAGAGCACCGAAAGCATAAAAGGAGGAACAGAGTTGGAATGAGCAGCATCAGCGCTCTGAAAAGATCCTTTCAAATGCCTTTTACTGTTTTTGTGAGCTTTCCTCCCAGCTTGTAAGTGCCTTTGCTTCTAATCACCTGCACCTGACTCCCCTTTGAAGGATTTAGCAGGTATATTGGTCAGTTTTTCTGTTGCTGGACATGACACCCAGCTCTCACAACTTACAGGAGAAAACGTTGAATTTAGCTATGGATTGGGGGATTTAGTTCCTAGTAGACTGGCTCCAAGGTAAGAACATCATGCCTAGGCCAGATGCTTAGTCTGTGGCAGCTGAGGAGCAGAGCAGGGAAACAGTACCATACAGGACCAGTACAGAGATAGTATATAGAACCCAACGCTATTCCTCCATGACCTACTAAGATAATGTACAGCCAAAAGTGTGATCTGCTAATCTGCTAAGCATTTCTTAATTCAGCGAAGTTGTCAATCAGGATTACTGGTTGCAGCCTGCAAGTGTAGATCAAAGAGTAACCTAAAAGTTTTAATGTTCTTGCCCACTAATTGGTTGGAGAATCTAAACCAGCGATGGTGAATCCTTCAGAGCTTTCAATTATACTATCAGTGCATTGCAGTGTGTGTGTGCCATAGGACTATCAGTACTGGTCTAAGCATTCAACTTCCTTGACTTCCCAGGACACAACACTGGGGGGATAATTTTGCTACATAGTTCTGCTGAGTCCCCTTGATCAGGCTGAGCTGAGCCTTTGATGACTATATCCCTTCTAGATGTCATGGCCACTGACAGACACCCAACTATAAAGAGCATAATTGACCAGTGGCTCCAGCTGCTCATCCTGAACTCTGCTGACCCTGAATCACTGCTTTTGTGCTAAGGTCACATTTGCCCAAGCTGCTCCCAGCTGGTAACTGAGTGTGGCGGGGGTTCCTAGGCTGTCTGTTCCTGAGAGACACTGGGCTCCACTGACAGATAGCTTTGGCTTAAGGACAGCTTAGCAGTTTCAAAAATTCTCCTTAGATTGGACAGCAGTCTTAGATGTTCCCCTAACCTCTCTACCATTCTCCTGTACAGGAGTTCAGACCAGCATCAGAGCATCATGTTCTGCTGATTACTCTTTCCTTCCTTTGATACTCAAAGATGGTAGGCATTTATGGAGTACCACATGTTTGTATATATGTACTGTATATGTTGTGTAATTCTCAAGTCAGGATAAGCATGTATACCTTCTCAACATTTATCATTTCTATTTGATGAAAACATCCAAGATTCCTTCCTTCTAGGTCTTTCAAAATATACTGCATATTATCAATATTTATAGTTAATGGACTATACAATAGAACACAAGAATTTATTTCTCCTCTCTGACTATAACCTAGAACCTGCTGATTCCTCTTTCCTCATCCTTCTGTTTTCCCTACTCTCCCCAGCCTCTGGTAACCACTGTTCTATTTTGTATTGCTATGAAATCCATTTTTCAGGTTCCACATGTGCATTAGATTGTGAGGTATTTGCCTTTCTATACCTGTTTTATTTTTTTGACATAATATCTTTCTATCTTTATTGCCTCAAAAATGACAGGATTTCATATTGTTTTTATGGTTTAACAGTGTGTCATTGTGCGTAAATACCATGTTTGCTTTACTTATTCATCAGTGATGGACATATAGGTAGAATTCGTTTCTTGGCTATTCTGAACAGTTCTATAATTTCATATATAATTGTATGTGTATTTCTCTATAAAATCCTCAAATGCTTAATCCCAAACTGGTATCTGCTTTTCAGCAGATCCAGAGAAGCACACTGAGCTTCCCCACTAATTCTTACCCTAATACTAGCCTTACATATTTCTTGGTTTTCCCTGTGAGAATTTACACATGAGTGTTCAAATCAGGATCAGCTTCTGGGAAAAACAATGAAAGATGAAAGATCAAAGGAGAAATAGAACAAAGAGACTCTAACCTAACAACCAGTCATGTTGAGATTTAAAGAATAATAAGCACTAATAGGCAAAGACAGGGTGTTTCATGTAGAAGAAATATCACATCCGAAGGCCAACAGGTAAGAGTGGTACTTTTGGAATCATTGTAAGGTCTAAAAAATAATTAACATACTGAGAGATAGAGGAAGAAGCCAGCTCTGGACAGCCTAGTTGGCCATACCAAGGATTTTTAACTTCCCTTAAGAAGATTATAAAATCATTATAAGAAAAGCAAGGAGATAAAAGATCAGATTTCCATTTTAAGAAGATAACTCCCTTAACTGAATTGTAAGGTAGGATAGAAGTGAGGGGACCAGATAAGAAGTAATACATTGCTCAGTCCAAGGCAGAGGTGAAAATCAACAGCCCACAACTGGTCTTGCTATAGTCAAAGCAAACAATAATTTTTCACTTTTCAAGCATTGTCATATGGACTGTATGTTTCTGTCTTCCTCAAATTCATATGTTGAAACCTTAATAGTCAGTGTAGCAATATCGGGTTTTCAGTTCTTTGGGAAGTAATTAGGTCACTAGGGTGGATGGAACTCGTGCCCTTATTAAAAGGACCCCAGACGTCTCTCTCTCCCTCTTTCCACACCAGGGTATAAGAGAAGTTACCTGTGACTAGATACAGGTCCTTCACCAGAACCAGGCCATACTTATCTGAGACTACCATCCTCCATAACTGTCAGGAGTAAATTTCTGTCATTCGTAAGCCACCTAGAATGTGAAACTTTATGATAGCAGCCCAGACTGAGTAAGACTGTTGTAAAAACAGCAACAGCAGAAATGAAGAACATGTCTGTGGTCATGAAAACTCTAAAATCACTGTTTTACCCTTTATAGGAAAAAAAGTTGCAGACCTAAGACTAGGAAAATGGTAATTAAAATGGAGAAATTTGGTTCAATCAATGAAAAGTTTTGATGATAAAATCAATCCAAAATTTTTATCTGCAACCTCTAGGGGACAAGAAAACAGGACGGATGAAAAATGTGTCCTATGTTTCCAACTTGGGCAGCTGGCTGGACAATAGAACTATGGACTGAGAGAACATAAGATGAGAAGCCACATTGAACGAGCCCACAAATGCTCCACACTGAATCAAAGGTGACTTTTGCTTATTTTAACCAGATTAAATTTAATAGTTTTCAATCCAAGAGTTCAGACTCTACAGATGAGTAAACATCATTCTGTCCCTTAAGCACTGTACAGTAGTCTAACAGGAAAGAGTGACTACTAACATTAAATGTGATACGATACAAAGTAATGTCAGATGGAAGCCATAAGAGAGGACCAATGTACTAAAGAGGAAGAGAAAGACAGAGACAGAGCCAATACCCAAATTTAGGACAAAAACAGGAAGATGTATCATTTGAAGTAAGCCTTGAAGAATGACTAGGACTTCAAGAAATGGAGTACAACTTGAATTAAGCCAAGGATTCTTCTTGCTGCCACACTTAACATAGAAAATAAGGCAAAAAAAATGAATTTTAATCTTAATCATTATCCAATTTATTGCCAATAGTTGCATGTATTAAATTTCTCCTTTTTCTCTACTCTCTAGTCATGTCTCTTCAGTAACCCTGTACCCGGCCTTTAGGCTATTTATATACTCTTCAGATACACAGCTGCCTCAAAAGTCTTGATATTTTCTCTCCCATGCCCTTTCTCCTGCTTCAGCCGCTTGAAGGATGTGGTATTTGATGGTACATGATGAAAGTCTGAGAACCTTGTGGCTAGGCTGTGTGTTGGGTTTAGGGAAGGGGTATACAGGCTTAACTGACCTGCTCAAATGTGCCTTTCCTGTCCTCCCAAAGCAGAAAGGTAGGATGGAATCTGGTGCTTCAGAAAATTTATCAGAAGCCTGGTGGGTGGAAAACGAACAGAATGACTTACAGCCTGTTTCAGGCTACTCTAAATTTATCCTACCAGCTCTTAATAAGAGGTATTATAGTGTGAAATGCAGAAACTGCAACTTCTGGATATAGGGTAAGTGCAGAATTACAAATATCTGAGGAGGAAAAGGGGCTGGCACAACCTGTTTCCTAGACATAAATCGTAACTTTTTGTTGTACTATTGGAGCAGTATTCAACTTTTAGGGGAAAAAGACAAGTCACAGGAGAACTGTTTATAATAGAGGTTTTAAAAAAAAAAAACTTTCAGAATAGGATCTAAATCCAGTGCACACTTGGCTTCAGTTATGTCGCAGCCATTACCCCACATCCTGAGGTCCCTACCTGCTTCACTGATGAATAAGAATCTCTGTCAGTGCTGATTTTCCTCCAAGTCACTGAGTCACCAGAGATTAAATTATGCTTTCCACTCTTTCCCCCCGTAAGGCATTTAGAAAGATTTCTCATTATACATCTTAAAGCTAAGATATTTTTCATTTTAAATTGAAAATGAGTCACAATAATTATTATCTACATTGTTTTGTCCTGATTGCAAGTGAAAAGTATAGTGTAATGGAACATGGCTCTTGTGAAGATAAAGAACAGGTCAGATGTTCTTTATGAACAGATAGATGATTGATAGAAGGATAGATAGATAGACAGACAGACAGATAGGTAAAGGATGGGAAGAAAAAACATCCAGTGTAGTGCAGGTAACCTCAATGTTTCACTCGAAATACAGGTATTACCATGAATTTCATTTTTTAATCCTATCATGATTCTAGCAGCAAAGTTAATTCCCCACCCAAACCTAAAAATAGAAGAGCTATTAATTCCAGTTTTAAATAGTCATTTTTGATCAGTATGTTTTTGGTATGTTAATGCTGGGTAAAAAATGGAATGGAGGGAGATAAGTGTGATCAATGTCTGAAGTTTTCCCCCTGTCCCCTCTTTTTGAAAGACTCTAATTTTATTTAGCACATTACGCCCCTTGTCTCAGTTAGGCACTTGTTTCTGTATCTCTGCCTTCAATCACTACTAACCATCCACAGAACAGGGATATTTTTGGTACCTACTTTATTGTAGACCCTTCCAACTACAAAGATAGAGACTACTTTGATGAGACCATAGCAATAACAATTTATATTTTCAGGCTTTTGTTTCAGGTTTCAAGATGACTTTACAGTTTGATCCACAAAATGTCATCTATTTCCCACCAAGCTGTTTTGTGGCTGTGACAAAATACCCAAGAAAACCACTTTATAAAGAAAGGTTAATTTTGGCTCATGGCTTCAGAGGTTTCAGTACATGATTACCTGGCTCCTGTGCTTTAAGTCTGTGGCAAAGCGGACATGTCATAACGGAAGGACATGGTGGGGTATAGCAGCCCAGTTTGTGACAGTCAGAAAGCAGAGAAAGAGGAAAAGGACCAGAGAGGAACATACTCTTGATCCTGTTTTTTAGATAAGGGAACTGAGGCTCAAAGAAGTCGAGTTAGACAATTATTTAAAAAGCACTCAGTTTTTAAAGTCAGTGTTCTGGTCTGACTCCATCTCTAGTGCTCCTTCCAGTGAACCGCAGCTTCTATTTGCAATGTGGCCCCTTTAAAGCCCCATTAGAGACACACATAGGAATAATAGGGACCTTTCCACAGTGGCTCTCCTATTTCAGTTCACTTTGTAGCAAGATCAAGGGGGAAAATGTACTAGGCTTTTAGAAATTATGCCACTAGAGCATCGTTGATGGAAATTGTGGGTGATTTAATCTGCTTGGAGACACCAAACAGCATCCCACAGCATGTTGCTATGGCAATGCAACTCTTATCTTACTGGCTTTAAACAGAAATATCTCAAGGGCAGTGTAATTAGGTAAGTAGAGCAGTGAGTGTGCGTTCATGAAGTCATTTTCCAATGATTACTGTTTTATTATTGAGCGTGATGTTCATAGGTTCTGCCTAATATGTCAAGTCTATGTGGGGAAAAGAGTGTGTTCATTCTTGTGTGTGCTTGCATATGTGTGTGGTAGGTGGGTGTTGTGGGAGCAGTATTTTAATTAGTATCGACCCCCCCAAACTTCTGTACCAGGTGGCACCATATGGCAGGCTCCCACTCATGCGCAAATATAACAAAATAAGAACATGTGAGGCTGTGAGACACATGCACAACCTCAACCACGCTAATCAGGGGTTATGAGCGTGTTATAGGAACACTGTTCTCTTGTGACTTGTTTTTTTTTTTTTTTTAAAATTAAATTTCAGTGCATCTCAGAATTGTTTGTTCTGATTCTCTCTGACTCAGATCGTTATTCCCAAAAGCTTCTGGAAGGTCTTTTGCTTCTACTTCTAGTGCCCGAAATCCCCACCCACCTACTCAGGCATCACCATGACTTTCTGGGTCCTCTCTGCCCTGAAAATACAGAACTTCCTTGCTGAGTTGAGTATTCATCCTAGAAGAATGTTGCTAAAGAGAGTCTAATTCCTAAGGCCTTATTATGCCTCTCTTCCTTATATGATGGAAAGGATGATAGGAGCTGATTTACTGGGCGAACCAAAGCCTTTATCAGGCACTTCGGGTATTTTCTCAGGTCTTCTATCCTCATAGCAGAGACGAAAAACTGAAGCTCATAAATATTAAAAACAAACTCAAGAATTACATAGTTATTAAGTAGCAGATCTGGAATTTAAAATAAGTGCTGGCTAAACTAAACGTTTTTCTTCTTTCTGCTGTGCCATGATGCCTTACTTACAGAGAACTTTTGTAATTAAGACACTGAAAGCCAATAGCCCATCGCCTCTACCCTGTTTTGATCTGTATTGTGACCACTGTTTCTACTTATTTAGACCAACTGGTTAGTTAGAGCCAGTGGACCTCACCAACATCTGGAGCCATTGTTGATCATGCTGGTGATATGCTATTTGGCCTCATGCTGTGGGGCCTGGTTCCTAACAGGGGATGGTGACTCCTGGCTTAGAGCACTACTCTGTGATCCTCTTCTCTGATTATCACAGAATGGGAAACAGGCCCAATCCCTAACATTTATTTTTTATGACAATTAATATGAGTCCCTCCCTTTGACAATAGCCTAAAGTGCCTTTCAAGGATAAAGCTACTGTACCCTCCTTTTAAAGGTAATTAGCTTGGGCAGGCTTTGTCTTAGTTGTTTTGGGTTTCTCTCCCCTCCTAGGAGCTCTCCTGGGTGGCCACTTGACTTTCCAGCAAAGGACACTGAGACATCCCGACATCACTGAGTGGAGAAGCTCAGGAGGTGTTGTCATGTGGGGAGAAATCAAAATGGGAAATGCTGCTGTATGTCGTAGGTGGTCTGCTACCCTCCCAAATCTTGTTTCATCTTTATTATATCCAATGAAAGTTTCTTTTTTTCTGTGGACTTTCTCTCAAATATTCCAGTTTGCACTTTCCATTTTCTAAATTCAATTGTGTTTATAATCAATAACATAGCAAAGTAGTCATTGAATTTACATAAACTTAAAACTAACATATATCTTAAACTCAATATGCATGTTTTAGAGTTTTATTTATTCATTTGATTCTGGGTATTGTCCACAGCCTCCTGTGAAGCATATATGCTGTCATTGAAGCTCATTCCCAGTCTTATGCATATTTTTATCAATTTTATACTGGATGGCTTGTGTTCTGCATCATACATATTAGTAGAATCCATGCACATAAATTATACAAATACAATCACTGCTTTGCAATAGGCCTGGTCTGTAACATTTATTTGTATGCCTTAGGAGAAAAATACAAAAGGCAGCCCTTGTGTTCGTCTGCAATCTACAGACTCCTTGGGGATCCCTCAGTCTTTTTGACCTGTCTCAGTATTTGCATTGGTGATGCAAAAGAAATATTGGATAAAACTCCTAGTACTTTAGCATGAACCAAGGTACCAAACTTTCCTTGCAGTTATTATATTCTTTACTCCCTCCCAAATGAGAGCCAGTTTCCTCTTTAAAATGTCTTTGGTGCAAACAGTAAGCCCTAAAATTATTCATTTTATTAATCCTTCATTATGTCTTCATTCATGTCTGTAACTGTTTTGTGAGGTAAAATAGAAACTTTCTCCTGGAGCATTCCTGCCACAGAGGAAAAGCACTTGTGAGGTTGTGGGGTGTGCAGCGACCTAGCTCTTCCCATAATTGTCCCGACTTTTCCTGAAAAAAATAGTTGATGAACAAATGGCGGCAACTCAGACTT